ATTTTTTTTTGAAAAGTCGGATGCCAGGTTCACAGAGGTCTGGCTGAGGTAATATTTTTTATAAAGAATAGGTCTATGTCTTATGTGACACAGCTATAGATAAAATTATTCAGTTGCACCAAGGAACCTTTATAACCGCATTGTAGCGCTGCAAGTCGACTACAAAAGCAGTTTTAGCCAGTGCCGTACAAAAGCAGTTTTAGGATCAGTTTGCCTCTAGGTAAACTTTGGTTCACCTTCCGTATTTTATAATTTAAGCTGAGAAGGTATCAAACAACTAAAAATTATGTTAAATTTTTTAAATTTCTACTCACTCCGTAAACAAAAAACTAGAATAAAATATGAAAAAAATGAAAAATATAAATCCAAATCAATAAAATGTCAATTTTTTTATACGCTTCTTTGGTACGTTTATAATTTAAGAAAAAATTGCAACAAAACAAAAAGTTAAAAATTGTGTTCGCATCTTAAATCTGGCACCCCCTTCTCTTGTGACGCCCCTAGACAATTGTTTACGACCTATAATAATTAAGTGTAAGTGTACTACAGCGGCAGTTTCCATCAGTTCTTCGACAGTTCACACTCAAGATCTAGATACACCAGCATATAGTTAACTACAAGTATCAACGTAAGTAATGGTATCTAACAACAAGATAGCCAAACTTGCTAAAGCAAATTTCACCAAATGCTTGTCCTAAAAGTTTGTAAGCAACGAGCACTAAATTTCAAACTCTATTATATCAGACGTTGTCGACAAATTATAAATTGAAATACGAGAAAATTTGCTGGCATATCGTGACAACAAAGTGTCGCCGAAAGCCGAGCAAGCTCTGTTCCATACGAGCAAGCTTTGTTCAGAATTTGGCGACAATTTGCTATTATCAAACTGTGTTGCGCAAACCTTGCTCAATTTTTGGTGTCAATGTGCTGTCAAATTATGTTCACAAGTTGTGCCAACAAAACACGAACTGATCGTGGACATAGATGCTATTAGTATTTGGAACCAAGTTTTGAGTGAATTTGATATTAATTTTTTGGCAATTTACTGACAAATTACTGGGATTGTAAGTAAAAAAAATTAATTGTTTTTTTGCAGAATAATTAGAGACTGTGTATAAAATTGGTTGTTCTTAAGAGAAATAGTCACGTACGCGAAGCGCGCGCTTGTGTTGTGTGTGTGTGTCCTAGTATTTTAAAAATTACAATTATTAACCCATACATACAATCAACTTTCATCATTCATGTTTCGAAATGTACCTCATGTTTTAAATATGCCCCGATAGAAAAATTTCTCAAATATTGTGAAAAATTCAACTTTTTTTACGAATTCCCTATAGATTTACAATAGTTCCAGAGTTCTTGATGGGTTTAAGAAATAGTTCTGCTCATTAAAAACATTAAAATGAATTTTTTTTAATGGGGGGCTAACTTCACGCAGCCCCCCCCCCATTTTCATAAAAACTAATTTTTTAATGGAGTTCTGGATAGATTTCGCATAGTTCTAGAGTTCTTGATACACTTTAATAATAGTTCTGCACGAGAAAGTAAAAAAAACGAAGTTGGAGAATCAAGAAACAGTACCCCTGAAATAGCCATAACTATAAAAGTATTAACGTAATGGAACTTTGCCATTAGGATTTTCGATAGAACTCTGCGGGGGCTACCGGGAACTCTCAACAGAACTGCTGGAAGTGTTCAAAATTTTTTTCGGGTCTTATAAGACAGAAACTGATAAGACAGAAACTGAAACCTAAAATCGCCTATAACTTTCTCCCCTTTAATCACACAGACTTTTGGCATTAGGATTTTCAATAGAACTCTGCGGGGGTTACCGGGAACTCTCAACAGAACTGCCGGAACTGTGCAAAAATTTTTTCGGGTCTTATAAGACGACCCGTTTCTGTCTTACAAGACGACCCGAAAACATTTTTGCACAGTTTCGGCAGTTCTGTTGAGAGTTCCCGGTAGCCCCGCAGAGTTCTATCGAAAATCCTAAATTGGCAAAATTCCATTACATTAATACTTTTATAGTTATGCCTATTTCTGGGGTACTGTTTCTTGATTCTTCAACTTCGTTTTTTTACTTTTTCGTGCAGAACTATTGTTAAAATGTACCAGAACTCTAGAACTATGCGAAATCTATCCAGAACTCCATTAAAAAATTAGTTTTTACGAAAATAGGGGGCTGCGTGAAGTTAGCCCCTATTTAAAAAAATTCATTTTAACGTCTTTAATTGGCAGAACTATTTTTTAAACCCATCAAGAACTCTGGAACTATTGTAAATCTATAGGGAACTCGTAAAAAAAGTTAAAATTTTAAATAATGGGGGCTAACTTCAAAGGGGTTCCAAAAGGAGAAAATTTCACAATGATTGTATAAAAAGGTCTATCTACATAAGACGCAGGACGCGGGTCGCAAGTCGCAGAACGCGGAACGCAAGTCGCAGGTCGTAAGACTTTTGCGTTTATATAGTCCACATAGATACGCAGCGAACTCTCTGCGTCAAAAGAAAAATGAATAAAATGTCAATCAGAACATAAATGTCATAACTTCTCTTTCAGAAGCAATTACTATCATTAAGAATTGTGAAAGAAATATATGTATAACATGAATACAAGAAGACGCAAGTTATTATTGCTGTGTGCAAGTTTAAGTTATCTGTCCATGCGAAATTTTTTTGGTCCTGGTTTTTATATGTTTTGACACTTTTGGCGTACAAACCAGGATTTGTTTTTACTTCACGCAAAGAAATGACTTAGTAATATCAGCTAAATTGCAGTAGCTGCTTTGAAATTAGTTAAAAGGCTAAGTGTTTTGTTGCTAAAAGTTGGTGATTATAGATAAAATTCAATCGCTGCGAGATACAACTTTATTAGTTGGAAAGAATAGCGCACTTAGCACGAGCAGCTAAGAAAGTAGCAGCTACTTCGAAATATATTCGGAGCGCGATCCCAACATGCGATTTGCAATTCTTTTTGAGACGTTGCCATATGTATCAGCGTACCATTAATTCGCGTGTGGTACAATACAACGGCATGGTATCGTTCTTTTCGTCCTATAATGCTGTTCAACGTATGTTTCTACGCTTCTGTATATACAGCTAAATATTATTTGTTTCTAACAGCTAATATTTTTCGCTGCAGTATCTAAATTCAAAGAGCTAATAAATTGAGGTTTGGCAGCAACAACATTAGCTGTCCCTATTTCAAAGACACATTTTAGCTGTCACTGCTAAATTTTAGCTCCTTTGGCTAATCTTTTCTTTGCGTGTTTATAAATTAAATCCCGCGTTGCCGCGGAATCCCAATTACCTATATACCATTTTTTTTCTCAAAAATACTTAATTTCTCGCCTCGACGAGATCCTACGATATACGAGAATATTTGACAGTTGCCGCGATATGACAAGATATGTCCTGGTTGGCTGGTCGCTTCGACGCAGGACGTGAAAGTTGAAATTCGCCCAACTTCTGTGCGTCCTGCGTATTGAAGCCTGCGGCTTGTTGCGGCCGGAAATACGTCACGCTGCGTCTAATCTTGCGACTTGCGACCCGCGTCCTGCGTCTTATGTAGATAGACCTTAAGGTGACTCGCCAAAACGCAGCTGTTTTGCTGACAAACTATTTAGAAATACATTGTGCAAGTATTTATCAATATTTGATGAAACGTCTCTACTTTCGCATGTGTTAATTGTTCGAATTTTTTACGCATAATTCTAGCATTCCAAGTTTCATCCAGATTTCGTCACATAATTCTCTAAATATTTTCCTATCGGGTACCTAATTTAAAAAGGATTATATAGATTATAGACAATAAATCAGCAGAGTTTATAAAACTCGTAGATTTTTATTTTAGCGTTGTCACCATTTCAAACGGATATGCAATATTTGTGGTAGATAACAAGAGTGGTGACTGCTCCGAAAAAAAAATAAAGGATCGATGAAGGAAGGCCAATGAGAGCCAATAAAACGCGGAACACAGTGCGTGGTTTAAGTTTAAATGTGGAAAATATATTCTTTTGTTCAAATTTAAACAACGCACTGTATCCCACGCTTTATTGGCTCGCATTTGCGGTAGAATTGTTATAATCATTTCCTATTGCGTCACGGCCATTAATTAATTAGGTCATCATTATGTAAAAAAGATGTACAAAAAGTCAAGTATGCACGTAGAAAGAATAAATATAACTTGAAATATTTATAAAGTATTTTAAAAAGATTTTAAAATATATTTAACCTTTTAAAATATTTATGTGCTACTAGGGTTATGTCATCATTATACTGTATATAATTAACAAAATTTCGATTTTAAAAAATACTCAAATTTACCTTCCCTACAAATGGAATAATATAAAAACATGCACCAACTATACAAATTGTCTTAAAATGTTATATCCAATGATTATAGAATATTACAGAATACGATTTTATATAATGAAAGTTTTGGGTGTATTGTTTTACATACCAATATTACATGTATTAATTACTAAAACATAAAAAAATGTGTAAATCTATACAAAATTAAACATTCTACATTCAATTAAATGTAGTTAGAGATGTTTTGGAATACTTTTCTAAAATTCTTGAAGATGCGTACAATCAGAATTTCAATTGAATAAAATATTTTATTCGAAGAAATAAAGAAGATAATAATATTAAATAGACACATATTAATACAAATAACACAAATAAATATTTGATTCTAAATTTTCGGCACTGCTAAACCGACTAGATTTGAGTACTTTTGTACCGAAGTTTTGTTCATTATATATTTATTCTTTCTACGCGTATACTTGGCTTTTTGTACCTTTTTTATAAAAAGGTAATTTTATTAAGATTATGATAACGAGTAACGATAATGAATAGCTTATTCCTACAGAACAACTTAATACGCAGGACACGACAAAGTTAATGATGTCAAGTCGAGAAAATCAAAGTAGCGAAGACATCGATAAATACACAAGAGATGCAACTGAACGGTATGAACTTGCAGAGGCAAGGAACGCCGTTAAACACATGGAATGTTTTGTGAAAAATTTTAAGCATATTGTCGATCAGAATTCTGCCAAACCGGGGGATTATGATAAATGGACGGACAAAGAAAAATATGAACATGTAATAGATAACCTAAACACATATGCACCAAGTGTACCGGACTCCTTGTTATTCCTCATATCGGGCGCATTGCATCGAGGAGATTGCAATCGAAATTCAACGGACAAACCGCTCTGGTTAGACATGGAAAAGTTCCAGAGAGGTCAAAAGTTCGCTCAAGGTCACATGTTTTCGATTCTTTTCGCTAACGTGTTATCGCCTCTCCTGGTATACGCTTTCCCAGAAGCTTTCAAACCACTAATCTTGAGCCAAAAATCTCACACGCCGTATTTAGCATTCAAGAGGTACACGATTCAAGTATTATGATTTATTGTTGCGTCTCTACTGAGAAACTCACAATCAGCTGAAGCCGGTACTGAGGCCGGTATTTATAGTCGGATCTTATATTCAAAGCCGTCTTGAATTTATCTAAAGATGCCGTACGGAACATTTCTTGGCTACGGGGTATCTAAAGATGATCTTGAGACTGTCTTAAATATAAGATCTGACTATGAATATTGGTCTAAGACAATCGTTTGAAGATGAATCTCGAGAGTCAATTTAATATTAGTAGAGTAAAGGGTAATTATTTAGATTAGGACA